GTAAGGCTTGTCGCCTGTGGGCGTATGTCGGGGACATAGCGCTCGAAAAAGGCTCCATGAAGTTTGTACTCGAGAAGTAGCTTGCCTTCAGTGGAGGTGAGGCTTGTCGCCTGTAGGCATATGTCGGGGACATAGCGCTTGAAAAAGACTCCATGGAGTTTGTACTCGAGAAGTAGCTTGCCTTCAGTGGAGGTGAGGCTTGTCGCCTGTAGGCATATATCGGGGACATAGCGCTTGAAAAAGATTCCATGAAGTTTGTACTCGAGAAGTAGCTTGCCTTCAGTGGAGGTGAGGCTTGTCGCCTGCTAGTGTATGTCAGGGACATAACACTCGAAAAGTGTTCCATTGAGTTTGTGCTTCGAGGAGCAGCTTGTCTGCAATGGAGGTCAGTCTTGAGCTGCTCCTCGTAAAGTCATCGTGAACACTTTGCACATCAGGGCGTCGTCTGCCTTGTACAGGATCATGGCGCTCTTGAAGTGCCTCAAATGGCTATCAGGGTCAGAGTCTCCTTTGAACGGAGTGATGGATGGCGTTGTGAACCGCTTTGGCGGCGGAGCTCGTTCCACTTCCTCGGTAAAGGGCGAGCAGTCGACTCGATCAATTTCCTTGCGCAGGGCCTCCTCTGTGCTTCCATTAAGTTGGAGACTTTGGAGTCGGTCATTCACTAACTTTTCGACATCCTCTGCTCGCAGGGCTGGTGGCTCGGGTCGACGTCTTCGATGCCTCGAGCGCCGCTGGTTAACTTCCTCCTCTGCCGCCAAGGGTCGATCCCCTTGGTTGCTCTGCCCGTGGGGCAGATTAGGAGATTGAGCTTGTGAGGATTCCTCTGTGGCTTGTCGCCGTGTGTTGGTCCTCGAGCGGGCTGGTGAGCGTCGATCATTGCGCTCGTTACGCGGTTGTTCACGAACTCGAGCTCCTTGCGAACCCAACCTAGGTTGAATACTTCCTTGTGGGCCCAAGCGAGCGTGGACATTGGACCGTGGGCCTAGCCTCTCTCGTACATTGGTCCTTGGACCTAACCTCGAACGGATCGTCGACCGGCTCAGAGTATGACTTGCAGATGTCTGTGTCTCTCCAGCACGATCTCGTTCTCTCTCCTGCCCGTTTGCCCTTGCTTGACCAGCTTGGGACCTCTCGAACTGTTCGCTGACATGCTCGTGCGTCCTCGTCTCCTCGTCATGGGGTCCAAGGTTAGGGCCTTGGTTCAAGTTGATCTGCCTGAGTAGCTGGCCAATCAGGTTGTTCTGATCGTCGAC